TAAAGTCATGATCTATTTGCAAATCAAGTTTCCAAAATGAACGTTTATTATTATAGGCGGGTTTGATCAAAATAAGCCTTCGAAGCTGTTTGTAAAATATATTTAATTAACGTTTTATTATTATCAATTATTCAATAACTATATAGGCGGGCTTGATCGGACAAGATCTATATAGTCAGATTGTTAATAATGGAATTTTATTACATGCAAAAAAAATTTTTTTGAGTTGTAAATTTTGTTTTATTAAATAAATTTGTTTGACTTTTTCATACATTGTTCATGTTTTCTCTTGATCGTATATCTTAAATTGGTCGCGTTTACAATCATCTTGATATTCGTTATATTAAGGTTATTTTGATTATATCAAGAGATATGGTCAAGAGAAGAGTTATGAAGAGAGTTATTCTTCAACCAAGTCGAAAACCAACCCTTTAAATGCATTTTCGAGTAGTACGATTTAATTTATTAGACTATTTCAAATGTTTGCTTCCAAATTCTTAAATTAGAACCATTTGTTAACGAAACAACTGTTGGTGAAGTGATTGTTGACAAAACGAATCAATGTTTTATATTTTTACGTTATCAAATTCACGATTTTTGATTGGTCGATCAACAATTGCGTAGGTTAAATTTTTTGTTACCAGAACGGTCTCTTCTGTTACATGTAAATGATTGAATCAATTGAATCGTGTATTTTTATTATTGTAATGCTATGAAACACTCGGCGCAGTGGTTTTTTTATTTTTCGACCATCTTGTATAACGTTGTATAATGATAAATGTTTTCATGGTTTGAATGTGATCACCATCTGTAAACTTGATTGCTTGAAGATGGACAGAGACGTCGTAGAAAGTTGAGTTCCGTGCGCTGAAATGGCCTGAGAGGAATTTCTCTACGAGAAAAACGAAAAAAAAAATGTGGGGACGGCCGTCCTATTTGTATTTTTTTGATTAATAAAATAGACTATTGTCTTGACCTGAGTGATGTCGTTTGTGTGAGTAAAAGACACGAAGCTCACTGTCACGTTTTCGTTTAAAAACTTGAAAGTTATGGAACAATAATTTTCGTGTTACAATATTTTGAATCTCACGGCCAAATTTAGTAATGATTTTTTTTTAAATATGTTTGTTAAACTTTTTTGTTGTAAAGAACTTTTATTTATTAATAAAAAAAAGGAAATAAATCAATCAAATAAATCAAATAAATCAAGTATATGTTGTAGAAAATATTCTATGAAAAAAAAGTTGTACACGAAATTTACTTTGTCTCAATTTCTTAAATGTATAACAAAATTCGGAATTTTCAAAATGCCAAGGCTCTGCCAATTTTCAGTCTAAGAAAAAACCAGCCGATAAGTTTTGAAGCTTGAATCATGAACAATAAAACTTATCGGTTAAATATTTTAAAATGATATAATTTTTTTTTGTTTTATATAGTATTTTGAAGTTCTGCACCACAAAAACATATTAATGATCGGCAAATTTTTGTCAGTTGTTTCACGGATTACGAATTAATTCTAATAAATAAAAATAATAAAAATTAATAATAAGCAAACTTTTTTTTAGTGCTTGTGTCAAGTAAGCAATGCTTCTAATCATAACTATAAACCTTATAAACTTTTATTTTGCAAAATATAAAATTTTGAATTGCATGTATTGTTATCATCTCATCTTGCACTATCTCAATTTCTAAATTTGATTACTTTGGTAAAGATTTACATTGTGATTTCTATTGTATTTCGGAATTCTCCTAAACCTACCAAAATTACCGCCATTTCAACTTCTTCTCTTCCAGCTCGTTATAACAAAAATTATAAGATAATAACAGCAGTATCATTGAGTATTAGTATATATTAGTGTTAGTTAATAATTTAGTTTTTTTTATTTTGCTACAAATACCACGCGAAAATGTTTAGATAACTTTTCTTTAAAAACCCTAATTTATTTTCTGGAGTGACATTTATCCGCCAGTGACATATTACGGCATGTACAACAGTCTTTCTCCTGTCATATTGCAAAAAAAAATTTCAAATTTTCCAATTGAATATCATTAATATGCTATCAAATAATAAAATTTTTTTTAAAGAAACTATATTTGATGAATTTTGTACAAACAAAAAAAAAAAAAAAAAGAGAATAATGTAAGTTGATGTGTGCGTGTGCAATTTATTAACGAAAATCTTGACAGGTAAATTTCGATCATTTAATTTATTGAAAAGATGTGCACACCCAAGTTTTTATGTGATGATTGATAGATAGTAAGTTTTATTTTAACTTTATAAAGGAAATTGTTTAACAATGCATTTAGTTTTATTTATCCAACCAATATAATTCGATTTCTTTTTATAGAAACACAAAAATTAATTTCATGCTTTTATATTTGTGTGTATAAATAATAAACGAACATTAATCTATATCTTACATGTATAATAAGGTATAAATTAAAAAAAAAATTTTTTTTTTCTTTTTTTCTCAAAATCCCATTTTCCTTCGTCAGTTAATTATATATATAAAAAATTTATTTTTAAATTTTTTAC